CCCCCTCTGCCCTCGCAGCGCCTACCGCTTCGGCTTTCCGTGATGGCAACGGAGCCACCGTCCCCCCTTCGGCTCGAGGCGCCCGGCCCCCCCAGACGTGCGGACCCCACCGGCGAGCGAGGCGGACTCCGAGAGCACCCGAAACCGGCGGGCGGCACGCTCCGCTTCCTCAACGGCTGCGTGCCCCTCTCGCATCAGGTGGCCGGGCACATGTACGGGAAGGACAAAGTGGGTAAGTGGGGGCGGCGCGGGGCTGCGGGAGCCCGGGGCCGGGCTGGACGCCCCCCGGGTCCGCGCGCGGGCCTCTTCCGCCCTCCCCCGGAGCCTGGCGACCCGGGCCGCGGGGTCCCGAAAAGTGGGGCGATCCCAGGGCGTGGGGCGCCGGGCTGGCAGCTGGAGGTGGCGGGGGAGAGGGAGGAGTGCCTGGCCTCCTCCCCAGGGAGGGCGCGTGTTGATTGGAGGCGGCGTTGTTGGAGAAAATAAGGAACTTTAATTGGACTGGATGGGGAAGTAAATTCTCCCCCGAGCACGAGGTCTGTTTATTATGAGCGGGTAGCGATTGCAACCGGGAAGGAATGAGATGCAGATGATGCTAATCTAGTGCTTTTTGCAGTGCATAGCTGGAGGGTAGGGGAAAACATGGGGCAGAGAGAGAGAGAGAGAGAGAGAGAGAGAGAGAGAGCGCGCGCGCTTGTCTTATCCGGGATCCCTCCCTGCCCTGGGGAGGTTTTTCTGATAATCTGGTAGATTTCTCCGGGAGGCTTGGTTCCTGGAGCAGAAACTCGGATTCTTGGTAGGAAACAACAGCCCGCTGCTGTGCTAGAATGGCCCACGGATCAGACATTCAGTTATTCTTGATCATCTTTTTATAAGGCTGTATCATGGCATGTGGAATATCTACCGGTTAAAGCACAATACAGGGCCTATCTCCGTTGTTGTTGTTTTTTTCTTCTTCCTCTTGATGATCTCAAGTTCAGCTTAGGAACTCGAACGCACCTAGCTTACTCACACTGGTTTCCTGGGCCACAATGAACTGGGGCGTCTGATGGATGCGTGGGCGAGAAAGGCAGGTCTTAGACCTGGAGGCCACTGGAGACAATTTGGTTTATGCTGGTAAGATGATTTGGGTTTAGGCCGGGCAGGTAATGCTGACATTTTCAGTCAGAATAACTGAGGCTGGTTAGGTCTGGTTAAGTGACAAGCCTAAAGTCACACAGCTGCTGTGTGTTAGGAGGCAGAAACCTAGGGTCCTGCCTCAGGACGGCTTTCCCCACCGTGTATTATTGTGCTTGGAGGTAAAGATGGTGGAAAATGGACCGGCACTCGTTTGAATGTAGGTTATTTCTCGCTGAGCGACACTTCCCACTACGTCTATCTTTACCTCCTTTTCTTTTGTTGAAAGTTGGCATTAATGATAGTGTCGTGTAGTTTGTGTGCCTTTCTCCCCACTCAATTGCGAGTTCCGTGAGGTTGGAGACCAAATCTGCGTATCCCCACAGCCTTGTGCATGGGTCTCAGTTAAACTCCGGGAGGGGAGTGTAGTATGAAAATTGCCCGGTCCTTTAGTACCAGAGAAGGAAATAAGTATCATTCTCAAGGTGTGTATATAGATGTAAGGAAACAGCGTTCTCAAGATGCGTAGCCTATAGTCTCCTGTGCCACTTAAGGTAATGAGAATTTGAGAGTACTTAAGGAGTATTGCTAATAGATGTATACCTATTGATTTATATTGATAATTGTAATGATAATATTCCTAATACACTATTCTAGAGGCCCGAATAAATCATTGTTTCCTAAGGGTACCTAGAGATCTACTTCTGGGTAAAGGAGAAGAGATAAGCAAAAAAACCCCAACATAAGCACAGTCTTCGATGATTGTCACTTAAGACTGTAACCACTGCTTATCAAAGTATGTAATAGTGAGCCTATTCAGAGAGTTGTCTCTGACTCATTACAAATGTACCTTGAATGTGACTTACAACTACATTGGGAACAGTGGCTGAAGAATTTGTCACTCAAATTACCTAAGTAAGAGTAATTTAGATTCTAGAGGAAGGAGTCCATTCAACTTAAAATAAACTTTTTTCAATTTTGTAAGACTTTTTTGTAAGACTAAGGGACTGTCTTTGTATCACCAGTACACAATGCCTCAAACATACTATGCTATTTAATAAATGTTTGATGAATTTAATTCTCATTTATTTACACAATCTTGCTTATATTGTTAGTGAAAGGACACTATGACAATCTTCCCTATTCTTAAAATGCATAACAAGATGGTCAGTAATTCAGAGCTCAAGAATTTATGTCTCTCTACTATAACAAAGCACGTAAGAGTTGTCAAGTAGATCATGTAGGTCATAGTTTGGTTTGGCTGTCAACTGAAATTCTCAGAATAAACTTTCTTAAAAACCTTGTGTGAATATTTGTCTAAAATGTTTGTTACTATCGGTACGTAACCAGAGTTTTCCGATTTAGGGTTGGTATCTTAGTGATTTTCAAAAAGGAGTTGTTGGTGTGAATGAAAAAACTGTTCAGGAAAGTAACCTAACAGTGTGATCTGATCATAAATTCCTAACTGGGCAGGTCATGGTAGGTGTATAACTTTAGTAAAAGATTTATCTTTGCCTTAAGCAAGCCCTGTCCATTGTTTTTTTGCTAAGATTAACACATTTTTTAAATAACCACCCTCTAGTCTAGAGAGCACGTAATCTTGTTAACTCTCCTGTAATTCTCTCCTTGCTTTCTTCCTCCTTTATGTAATCTTCCTTAATTTCAAATACATAAAAGAAACTGAAAATTGCCATTCTTCAGAGTATTTGAAATCTTGCTTCCCAGCAATTGTCATCAGTTTTTGCTTGAATGAACACATAAAAATTCTCTACCGGTTTGGATGTTTTTTACATCGACATTGCCTTTGTTAAATTAAAAATTAAGAACATGGAACCAATAGCATAACAGTACTTGAACAGAAAAATAGATCTTGGTATAGTTAATTGACAGTATTTTATAGTTCTGATATCAGTTGTATTTTATGTTCTTCACTCACATCCTATTTCATCAAAGTACATTGAATTTTTCTAAGAACAATAGTTGTTTTTTTTTAATTGTAAAAGTAGTACATGATCTTTTAGGAAAAAAAATTCAAGGAGTAAACCAGTATAGTAGTACCCTTCCCCCTATTCTCTCAACTGCAATAGCTGGTAACTATTTCTGGTGTATCCTTTCAAGCCTTTGTTTCTGGGCACATACATAAACACATAACACATTTCAGACTTTTCTTATAAACATATATAAGCAACTTTTTGTTTTTAGTCTGTATTTTATCATGTAGTATATCCATATTTTTGTACCTAGGATATACTTCATTCTTTTAAAAAATTGTGTTGTATTCTATAGTGTAGATATATCACAATTTATTCCTCTTGTGTTGGATTTTTATATTTTTATCATTTTGTTATTATATTATGTATTAAACATTCTTGTATACATTGCATATTGTATAACTCTTTCTGTAGGAAAGTTTCACAAATGTGTAATTGTTAGCAATTTAAATTCCCAAACTTCACCAAAGTTAGCATAAAGTCCTTTTTGTTTTAATATATAACATGTACCATTAATTTCTTTCAAAAGTCCTTAAAGATTTAAACAAATAGTTGATATCTCATATTTGTGCCCTGGTCCACTTTAGGATATAGAATAAGGTAGTCTATAGGGAAAAGGGATTCAAACTGATACTGTTTTTTGGGAAAAACCCACAACTTTTTTAGTTTACTGGTTTATTTTATTAAATATCCTCTGAAACTAATTGACTTAAAATAATTTCAAACTTACAGAAAAGTTGTAAGAATAATACAGAGAACTTAACGTTTTTCTGAATTTTTGACTATGCATTTATTTTTTTCCTGAACTATTTACTTAAGTGTATATATCTGTAACTACAGCACACTTATAAAATACTAGAGGCCCAGTCAACGAAATTTGTGCACAGGTAGGGTTCCTAGTGACTGCTGCTGCTGCCGCTGCCGCTGGCTGCCACTAGCAGGGCCAGAGAGGGGGAGAGGGGGAGTGAGGGGAGGGGCCAGTCGGCCTGGCCCCTGGTCGAACTTTTGGGTCAGGGGACAATTTGCATATTAGGCTTTTATTATATAGGATAGGAAATTTAACAGTGATACAATGCTCTTATCTAATCTATAGTCCATATTCCAATTTTTCAGCTGTTCCAATAATGTCTTTCATCGTACTTGTTTTTGTCTTCACAGGATCTAGTTCAGGATCATTTATTGCATTTAGTTGTCATGTCTCTTAGATTCCTCTAATTTGTATCAGTTCCCCAGCCTTTCTTTGTCTTTTATAACATTGTCATTTTTTAAGAATATAGGCTAGTTATTTATGAGATATTCTTTAATTTGGATTTCTGATGGGTTCTCATGATGAAATTCAGGTAATGCATTTCTGGTTGGAATATTATACAAGTGTATCCTATTTATTTTTAAAACATTTTTTATTGATGTTTAGAGAGAGGAAGGGAGAGGGAGAAAGAGAAACATGATGTGAGAGCGAGGCATCCATCTGCTGTCTCCTGCATGTCCCCTACGTGGGATTGTGCCCGTAACCAGGGCATGTGTCATTATGGAGAATCAAGCCAGCAACCTTTCTGTGCACAGATCGAGGTCCAACCAACTAAGCCACACCTGCCAGGGCCTAGTGTATCCTCTTTAAGGTATCACATCTGGAGGCTCACAATGTCCATCTGCCCATTATTAAATTTGATCATCTGGCCCAAGTGTGGTCTGGCTTCTCCAGTATATTGTTAATATTTTCCCCCTTTCAACTAATAAGCGTCTGTGGGGAAATGTTTTAATTTTAAGATCATACAGATATCTGGATCCTCATCATACTTTACCCCTAGATTTGGCATCTATTGTTGATTCTTGCCTAATAATTTTTCTAGTGGAAAAATTAGTATTTTCTTCTGGTTCTACCACTCCCTCTATGTTAATAATCAGCATTTCATATTGATACTTTCCCTTGTACCGAGGGTATGTGGTTGGAAACTCTTAAAAAGTTATTTGGATTAGGGCTTTTGGGGGGTTTATTTTTAGCTCCCCCTTCTCTATGGTCATATTCTTTTGAAGTACAGTTGGATTCGTTTGTTTCTGTTTAAACTTAGTTCTTCATGTTTCTGTTTAAACTTAGTTCTTAGTTTATTTAGCTAGATATTTTTGAAAGCCTATTAAAAAAGTCAAACTTTACATAAAGGTATATCAGAAGTGTCACGCCGTTCCTTATCACTGTACCCCATTCCTTAGCATCCCTTGTAGGTAACCAGTTTATTGTGTTTTGATTTTTCATTTCTGTTTTTTGTTACAGAAAGAAGCAGATCTATATAGGTCTTCTCATTTCTCTTTTCAAAACAAAAACCAGGGTGCTATATATATTGTTTTGTATTTTGCTTTTTAAACTTAACAGTATATCCTAGAAGTCAGTAATATCAGTTCATGGACAGCTTCCTCATAACTCAGTTGTATTCCATTGTGCACATATACCCCATTCTTTTCAGTCAGTTATCTGGATTTGCTTTTGGACTTTCATGTATTTACTTTCACTGATTTGTTAATCCTAGAAATAATACCTCACTGTCTTGATTCAAGTTGCTTTAGAATAAGTCTTGATGTACTGAAGAGTAAGCATTCCACTTCGTTTTCAAGGTTATCTTGACTTTTTCTGGACCTTTGCATTTCCTTATAGATTTTAAATCAACATATCATTTTTCACAAGAAACATAGTAAGATTTTGTATCTGCTTTGAATCTACATATTGCTTTTGTATCTGTTTTGAATCTACATATCATTTTCTGTGGTGTATGATAATGATTTTGCAGAACCATTTAAGACTAACTTATAAGCATCATGATTCCTTCCCTCTAAATAACTAAGTGTATGTCTCTTTTAAGAAAAGAATGTTTTCTTAATCATGAGAAAATTATCAAGTTCAGAATTTTTAACATTTGGCTTTTACCATTATCCTATAATATCCGTTTATAGCAATTTTCCCCCATCCGGGATCACACATTGCACTTAGTTGTTATGACTCCATAGGCATTTGGAACA